TCAGTAGAACTTTGAAGTCAAATGAAAACCACAGACCTTGTGCTGGAGTTAAATGGATAACAAGAGAACCACCAATAGAAACTATCAGTATCCTCCTTTGCTTTCCAGCTGCTGGCTCAAATAATTTAAAATTGTAATAAAAAATAAACACGTATATGCTGGTTACATGTAGGAGACAACCACCAAAAATGAACAAAAAGAGTGGTTAGGTCTTATTAATTAATTATCAAATTAGAGCTCTCATTTTTCATTTGTAAACAAAAGTCAAAAAGAGCTAGTGTTTGAATTTCAGTAATAAGGATACATCTAGTTAAAGTGACACCTTTCACCTACACAGCCTTGTCAGCCTTGGTGCATCTGGGATATGTATAATTCAGAGTTCTGTAATAACATTTCTCTCCAATAGGTCTCTAGTCTGTCTAGCATCTAACCTGTATCAAGAAGTTAGGAGCTACTGTGATGCATGAGATGAGTCATTTGCTGCTGACATATTGGCTAGTCATTAACGCACATATTTTTGGCAGTCTAAACTGTTCCTGTATCACAACCTGGAACTCTAGGAGATGGGAACCCTCAGCTTGCCCAGCAGAAACTTCACTGCTCCCTGCATACTGAGGCATTCTTCACAAGACAGAATGAATTATATTTGTTCAATACAGCAAAGCCTTCAGGCCAGCACAGATTTTTGATGTCTCAGAGAAACCTTTAGAGTCATCTTGCAAAGAACATTCATCTTTTTTAGAGATAGGGGACTTTCCCTCTTGTGAACAGGTCTTATTTGTTCTCTGGTTTTGACCAACAAGGTTCACAAAGGGAACGTGTTTCAAAGACCTACAGCCTGTAGGCAAGTGGACAAGCAATAAAACTTTGTTCATTCCCACCTCAACAGATGTTAACACTAGTTGAAGTCAGGCAGATACTTACCGTAAGTGATTTTTCAGACTGAGTATTATGTTTCATGCAAATGATACAGCATTAGAGCATTGCTAAAAAGCCTGGAAATAATTTTCACTGCTAAAGTTGTGAATAGATGACCAGAGAATCATAGAATAGTTTGGGTTGGAAAAGACCTTAATCTGGTTCCAACTCCCCTGCTATGGGCAGGGACACCTTTCACTAGACCAGTTGCTCAAAGCTACATCCAACCCGGTGTGTTGCTCCTATTCAATTTGTAAAATGCATTTGTCCTTTTATGTCTCTTTCTGTTTGCATTTCTTTCTCTTTCTTCCCAGAATTAAAACTTCACAAAATAGTCTAGAGGAGGCCAGGTTAAGTGAGCATTAGAAGTACTATAAGGAAATATTTTTAATCTGAGCAAGTAAATATTTTCCAGCTACATATCTACGTATATATATCTACTAACACTACATTGTCAAATATGGGATCGAATAGAAAAAATTAAAGAAACATTTTGTTTGGGTTCAAATGTTGTGATCTTTAAGACATTCAAGATTTTATTTTATTTTGTTCTACAATTGTCTAATACATTATTTCATAAGCATTAACATAAAACTGTTATTGGAAACTACTAATTATTCTGATAACCACATGGGGCCTTAATTAAAAACTGTAATCCATTTCAAAATGTACATGCATATAATGAAAACACAATTCAAATATGTTGACAGATAGCTGGATTTTATTACTTAAGCTTGAGGAAATAGATACATTTTCTAAAAAAAATGCTCAGAAAGCATGCTATTTCTTGATGTTGCAGTTGTTCTCTGCTATCCAGCAGTGAAAACAATAATTATTATCTGTTCTTCATGTTCTTAGGATTGGCATTGGTATTTGTTTGCATGAAGAATGCAACCATGCAAAAGCACAGTAGCACTTTAGAGAAAGAGAGGCTGCCAAAGTCTCTGGTGAGGCTTGCCAAAAAACCACTCACAGTAGGGTGTCTCTACTAGCTCTCTAAAACTGTATATAGGTCCTGCTCTTAAGGATAATCACCTGCTGCTGAATAGAACTATTCATTGAGGCTGAGGGGGTGTCTGAAAGTCTCAAACCTTTCAAAATTGTAGAATTGCCAATACTCTTGTTTTCTCAGGAGTCTCCTGAGGTTAACTTAGTCTTAGTGCCATGTTAAGTACCACCCAGCCTTGGAACTGGAGTCAGCTTATAGCCAGACAGCTAAAATTTGGGATAGGTTGCCATATGCATCTTTACATCTATCTATGGAGCCATGTCCTCAGTCTTTCAATGTATCTTAAAAAGAAGAAAAACAAATCTTCACAGAAAATTCCATTCTGCTCATGCTATCATCCTTTTTTTTAATTTTATTTTACATGAGACAAGGTTAATTGAGCCCAGAATGAAAATAGTATGATGAACTCAGATATATGTCACTCAGCTAAGAGAAAGTAGCTAGTTCCCTTGACTAAATTCTTGTACAGATGTGAAAGAATTCAGGCTAAAAGAGTGAGATGCTGATTTTGAGAGCCTACTCACCTTGAGGGAATAGACACCAAAGGGAACGATTTTGAAAAGTGGTGATAAATTGCGCTTCCTGTCTTTTGAGCTGTAGACTGGCAGGTAAACCAAGGTCTAGTAAGCAGATTTTGAAATCTTGAAGCAATTGATGCCTCCTCCATACTGTGGTGGCCTAAATCACCAAGCTCTTTGACCACTTGAGACACAGTTAGCAATTTGGTGAGGACAGCTGCTGATAAACGTTTGCTTTTGCTCTTGAAACTAAGGTATTGTAACCAGAAAAGTCAAGTGACCATAGAAAGGGTTATCTGACTGTCCTTCAAGTAGGAGAGAAATTATATTATTTCTCTGTGTCAGAATAGATATGTACTTTCTATGCTATTTGGTTATGAGGACAATAGTCTTGGGAGTAAAGACCTGGAAAAATATCATATTTAACTCTTTCCTGCTAAATACCAAAAAAACTGGGAGAGAGCCTCTCATAAACTTTCTGTCTATTCTAATATCATGCCTTTTTCATCATGGAGGTCCCACCTCTGCAGGTGGGTGGAACATGCCCTTTGTGGCTGCTGTAATATTTATGGCCAATGCTGGCTCAGAGCTGGTAACAGGCCACCAGCTTTTGTGGAGAACAGTTCTGAGCATTAAGCAGATGTGGAAAAAAGACATAGCAATATTTTCAGGCTTTTCTGGAGAATTAGATAACTCACTGACTGAGTATCCTATGATTAAACCTGGAATTTATCTGGGCAATGGGCATATATCTTCAGTAGCCAGGGCTGAACAAGTGTGGCCACTTTTAGCAATAGCAAACTTTAAGCCACACAGGAAAGCATTTTATAGATTTAGGTATTGTAAGGATTAACTAGTGCTGAAAAGAGATGACCTAGATAATGATCTGGGCTGTAGTCAAGTTTGGGCTTCTAAATCCTAATTTAGACTAAGCTTAAGTGATCCCTAAATTCTCTTAGTTTCATTTTAGATCTAAATCTTACATTGAATCTGGCCCATAAGGTCTTTCTTGGATGTGATTTGTGATGTTAGGCACTTAAAAGACTTTTTTCCTTAGAGTTTTGAATTATTTTTTTTTTTCAAATAAAATGTTTCTGCATGGAAAACATCTGTGATGATTTATATATTTTTCGTAGTAATCCTCTAATTCATTAGGAGCTGTATCTCCATTCAGAGGATTATTATGTAAATATATGTGCATAAATATAGGAAAGTTAACTTTTAAAAGGGATAGACACTTGGATTTTAGAAGCATTTTCATTTGTAGTGTTGTTTCCAGCTATGATAAATAAAGGTCTGAATTGCAGCAGAAAATGTAGAAATTGAGAACCTGATCCTGCACTGAATTCCAAGTGAGCAGGAGGTTTGCCAACACATAGTTCAGTGCAGGATCAGGGCCCTAAAATCTGAACTTACAAGGGCTAACTTTTTTTTCTGCAGTGTTCAAATGGACTGCTTAAAAACCCTATAAATGCTTCATCTAGACAGCAGGGCACCATTTCAGGAACTGATTGCCCATTATAGTACTGACAATAAAATAGGAAAATACCTCAAGGGAGAAGGAACAGGGCCTTATGACTTTCTCATTGAACTCAATGTGAAACTTATAATTTCCCAGCCCCACTTTACAGAATGTGTCAGTTTTCAGTGGCCATTGCATTATGCTCCTAAGTCTTGCTCAAGGAAATCTGAAATGAGGGGACTTAATACAGTGGAAAACCAGAGAAATCATGGCAGAAATCTGAGTTCACATATACAAAAGAATATATATTTTTTTCTTTATATTGTCTTCACTTTCCCCCGGAATGAATCAGCTAGAAGCAATACTCCTTTGATATACGTTTTCTGTGCTAGATTGTTAAAATGTGCTTGTCATACATAGAAGTGAGCATGCCTGTTTGAGAGATCTTTTAAGATTATTTTTTTCACAGATATTTTTAAAGACTCTCTGAAACAATATTCAGGGAGAACAAACCAGACTCAATACAAACCCATACATTCTCCTTTCCTGCATCACAGCCAAGAAACCAATATACATCCCTCTCCTCCCTACACTGAATCTCCTTCGTGGAACTTCCGACAGTCTTTGGTAGCAGAGAGCACCTGTCTGGATAATGCGAAGGGATAAGGGAGTATGTTAAACAAGGGCAGAGGGAATTGGGAAGGGATGCAGGAGACACAGAGCTAATTGAAGCAAAGCATTTTATTAATCTAGAGTGCTGTCTCCAGGCATGCCTAAAATCTAAATAATGATACTGAACTTCAAAGCCCTATTCTCCATTCCTTGTGCACTCACTACTCCTGCTTAAGTCAATGGAACTTCTAAGTGTATAAAAATGCAGAATCATACTGTGAATAAGCTGTTAAGAATCAATTAGCAGTAAAATCTTATGCTGCTTACAAGAAAAAAAAAGACAAAACCCCAACCTCTATTTGGTCAATTCTTTCCTGTCTATTAGTAGCATGAGTAGCTTGAACATCAAGGTATGTGATTTTGACCCTCTGGAGAACCATCTAAAAGCTTGGATCTCCTTTGAGACTTTATTGTTTTCCAGATGATTTATTCCGCTGATCTGTTCTGCTGCCATTGGACACTGTGAATACAGAGCACATCAAGAATTGTGTGAAACCTGACTACAAAGTTATGCAGCTTCTCAGGTGGGCTCAGGGATTTAGCTTGTGTGTTTTAAAACTCTTCTGTTGTTTCAACATCTTTGCATATTGAATTATGTTAATTTCACTAAGTAAACATTAATTACTTGATGGCTTCATAGTGCTTTGAAGCTGTAAGGTATTCTGAAAGCGATCATTATTAATTATAATATGTACTATTGTTATTTTGTCTTTATTTTTTAAAAGGCAAAGGACCACTTATCCTCTTCCTTAAAAGAGTCCACTTACAGAGGCACAGGAAACACAGTTCTCTATGTGTTTCTTCGAAGTGTGTGCAAGGATGCCATCTACCTAGACAGGGAAAACGGTGGGAAATACTATTGCACCAAAAGCCCAGTTATTATTACAGAACCCCAAATCCAGGGCATTTCTCATTCAGAAATGTTCAGCTCTCTCTGAACAGTGGAGAAAAAGTTCTTGTCTACTTTCACATGTAATTTCATGTATTAAGCAGGATATATCACTGAATATACTATGGGCCACCATACTGAGCATGATGTCATATGGTCTGGAATATCCCTTTGGTCAGTTTGGGTCACCTGCCCCCGCTGTGTCTCCTCCCACCCCTCCATGCTAACTTCCTTGCTAGCATGGCAGTATGAAAATCAGAAAAGGCCTCGGCTTTGGGTAAGCCCTGCTCAGCAATAACAAAACCATCTCTATATTATCAACCCTGTGTTCAGCACGAATCCAAAACATAGCCCCATACTGCCCACTGTGAAGAAAATTAACTCTACCCCAGCCAAAACCAGCACAGTGTCTTTCTCATTTGCATTTAAATATTAAAATTCATATGAAAATTTTGGGATTGATTTCAGTTTTAAAATTTCTGTGGCAGATTGTTTTATAAACCTTTTTTGTTATTAAAGAAGCTTAGTTAGCCTGTGGAGGTTGGCTTAATGCATTATTAATAACTGTGTGGTTGATACTTTTTAATAAGAATAGTATTTCATGGAGAAATGAGAGTTCATCCAAATCAACAGAATTTGTGAGAAAATGTCTATTTTAATTAAATTTATTAGATTTAGTGATCACAACGTACAGCAGGATACATTAAGATTTATTTGCTTTGTTTTATAACTAAACCAAATTAAATCAAATTTGTTTTCTATATGAATTAATGTATTCGGTATCCATGGTGGGGTGCTGGCAGCAGGGGCTGCAGGAGGGGGCTCTGCGAGGAGTGTCCAGGGCTGCCCTATGCCGGACACAGAGAGCTCCAGCTGGGTCCATCCCACCCACAGCAGGGCAGGGCCGGGCCCTACAGCCAGGAGGGTGGGTAGTGCCTTGGAGAAGACAAGTTTAAGAAAGGGTGAAACAGTGTTGTGCAGCAGCTGTGCGAGAGAGGAGTGAGAATATGTGGGAGAAACACTCCTGCAGACACCAAGGTCAGTGAAGGAGGGGGAAGAGGTGTTCCAGGCACCAGAGCAGAGATTCCCCTGCAGCCCCTAATGAAGACCACAGTGAGGCAGACTGTCTCCCTTCTGCCCATGGAGGTCCACAGTGAAGCAGATATCCATGCTACAGTCAATGGAGGACCCCACACCAGGTGTATGTGCCCTGGAGGAAGCTGCAACTTGGTGGAGAGCCACAGGGGAGCAGGGAAAAGTAGTAGGAGGAGGGAGTGACAGACAGGAGCTGTTACGGACTGACCCCACCCTTCCATTCCCCATGGTTGTGCACTGCTCAGCATGAGAAGGAAGTTGAGTAGTCAGGAACGAAGCAGGAAAGTTTACCCTGGGAAAAAAAGGTGAGTGGAGAGAAGGAGGATTGGTTTTTGTTTTGTTTCTGAATATCATATTTTTAATTGGCAATAAATTAAATTAGTCTTCCTCAAGTAAGGTCTGTATTGGCTATGATGGCAGTTGGTGAATGATTTTGTCTTCATCTCAACCCACGAAATTTTTCATCTCACTATCTCACCCATCCTGCTGAGGAGAGGAAGTGGAAAAGTGGATGTGTGGGCACCTGGCAGCCAGCCAAGGTGAACTCACCCCAATAAAGCTCAATATTTTGGTTTAAAAAAAAATATTGCAGATTTGACTGATCTGGTTCTATCATTCTATGCAAATCTTTTCTTTAAGTGTTGTCATAGAAGATAAAAGCTAAATCACCCTCTTTTTTTTTTTTTCCCCTGAGTGTCTCTTCTTCAGTATTCTGTAAACAGCTTGGTTTTCAATTACCCATGTGCTTGCACTTGGGGAGCTTCTCTGTTTTCAGACCTCTGTTGACTCCTTCAGGTTATAGGGCAGAGAATCACATCTCCAGTCTTCTAATATCGGTGGGTTTTCTATATGCCACTTCAAAGGCTGAAAATTAAAAAAAAAAAAAATACTCTCCACTTTACTCTCTGTCTTCCTTGATAAAAGAGCAGCTGTTATTTCACCAACCTGACTCTCCTGAGTGTAAAACATACTGGAAAGATATTGGAAAGTGCTTCTTTAAGGAATGCTCTTCTCTGCAAACTTTTTCTCAAGGGGTACAAGAGAAGTAAAGAAGCTGTTAATGCTAAGCTTCTGAAATATTTCTATAAGCAAAACATCTAAGAATAGTACAGCAATATTTGTAAGCCAAAAAGGCAATGTGTAATGGAGTGACTAGAACAGCCTCCCACAATTGAATATGTTATTTTACTAGCACAGTTGACATTTGTATGGTTGATGTCTTTTGGGTACAACCTGACCAAAAATTTTTAAATGGTAATTAATATAATTTGCACGTGTAAACAATCCCATTAAGATAAGTCCATTTCAGTGGATGAACACATACTTAGGTCTGTGCTGCAGCTGAACCTTTTTTAATAAAAAAGACACCTTTTCTTTATCTAAAGGTCATTTCGGCACCACTAATGGACACTTATTGTTATCAGGTGTTAAAAAAATGGGAAGGAGAAAGCAAGGAAATGATCATTACAGTTTAAACTACAAAGAAGATAGAAGGCACGTCAGCAGGGTCGGGATGAAGCTAGTGCCATATGTGAAACCAACCAGTGCATCCAAAACATTTTTGCAACACTGATGAATACCCTGGCTATGTGGAGATTACAGTACAGAGAGAAGTTCCCATGAGGGTAAATTGGACAAGACTGTATGCTGGGAAAGAAGCTCCATCAGAGAAAAGTTGCCTGGGGTAGGTGAAATGCTTAAGCAGAAAGTGGTGTACTGAAAAGCTGTAGTTAAAGTCAGCAGTGGAATATTTTTGAAATGGTGTTTAAAGTTTTTCTCATGCAGCAATAGGTCACCCAAATTGAAAGAAAGGCTTCTGAGGTCTGGTGCTGGGGATAAAGTGGTGAGAGAAATTCACCAAGCCGGAAAATTCTTGTGACAGCTTTCAGGGCCATTAAGAATTTGAGAATTTGAAATATACTCAATGTTGTTGTTTGGCTGAAAAATTCACTGCAGAAAAAAAAAATCAGCCTATAACACTGTTCCATTCCACTGAAATGTCTCTGGTTTTGCTAATGTTTGCTTAATGTGTAGATGTGTTGTAGAGTAACCATGACTTCAATTATAAGACATAATAGAATGTCACTAATAGAGTTTTTAATGACATTTTTATGTTAGTATTTAGAATACTAGAATAAAGAAGAATACTTTTACAGTTACTTTCTGGACATCAGACTAAATTACAATAAGAAAATAACTAATTAAAGCTGTTGGTCTGTTGATTTTGCTGTGCATTTTTCTATTAGTTTTCCTCGTTGAATTCTAGCCCAGATCTTCTCTTTCACAGATTACCAGTCTGAAACAAGCATCTGCTTGGGGAGGGTGAGAAGAAGAAGCCAGATAGCAAAAAGGGGGAAGAAATTTTAATGCACCCAGTGATATAAGGCACTGAATTGCCTTAGTCCATATTCACAATTCTTTAAATATATGAAAACTTGTTTTACAGGTTCTTTGAGTAGTTGGAGGTGTGTTTCTCTGACTGTCCAGAACTGAGCACATTGACACTGAGCTCAGGGCTGAACTTGCTTGTGATTGTGGTTTTGATCCAGAAGTAAGAAGGTTTTCATGCAAAATCCCTTTAAATATTCAGTCAAGAGGAGAGAAAATGATAGTATACCCTAGTAACAGCCTGGGTAAATTGACACATTATATAGATATTCTCCAATTAGTGCTGAATATTAGATGCAGACATTGTCTGGAATTGTCTGGGACTTCTCACCCCACAGCAGAACATCCTAGACACTTGGATACAAAAACATCTGGTCCAAAATACTTTTAACTCTACATTATTTGGAAAAATAAATAATACATCTTTTCAGAAATTGTATTACAGAATCCTATTAGAGAATTTTGTTCTATTTTCCTCTATTCCATCTTTTGAAGGCGTAAAATATTTAATCTAATATTTAGCTTTTGTGGCACATCTTTTTTGAATTACTTACTGTTGGATCCCAGAATGTAATATCTGCAGAGAGAGATTTGAGTGGTCTTTGCAGAAAGCTGTGGACTACAGAAGCTGGGAAAAACCCTCTTCATTGACCTCATCCCTGTGGATTTTTCCTGCCTTCTCCAGCAGGATGTGAAGAGACTCTTTGCATGATGGTATCACATACCCTGCCCAAGCCAGAGTCTGAACCCTGATCTCATCAAACCTATGCAGAAGACATTTTGTGCTTTATCTCTCCCTTTGTGTTCCCTGAATCCTTGCATTCTGTAAACTCGAATACCTTTTTTCCTTTGTAATTCCCCCAAGATAAAATGGGTTTTCCCCTATGATGTGTGTGTAAGACCCCAAATTTGTTAATCTGGGTTTTCCCCTTCTGTTATCCCCTGACACCCCTATTTGTAATAATTGTAATAGTTACAACCCCTTGTTGAATATTGTCTCAGTTTAAAGAGATTGGAGTGTTTTGCTAAGGAGGATGAGTTATGAGGTAGACCAAACTCTTCTCTCTCAGCAATTGTAAATCTGAAATTAAGAGGCTCCAATCAAGGATGTACGGAAAAAGGAAGAAATAACAACCCTTTATTAAAAGATATATGTATATTGTCAAAAACAGTAACAGAACACAAAAACAATTGAGCAATAATCCTGTACCCAAAAGTCCCCTTCAAAAAGGAAACAGTCTGATACTTCTCTGTCCTCTAGTGCAGTTTTAATCGCGGTTGGCAGGAGCGCTGTTGGATCACTGGAGGAGCAGAGCCTGCAGTGCTCAGTGTTGGTCAGCAGGGGGCGCTGTTGGGCTCTGGCGGCCACCGCGTGGGGGCCCCGGATCACGGGAGAAGCCAAAACGGAGATCTCCCCCCCACCAAGGAGGGGAAGGGGAGAAGGGGAAAGAAAGGCAGTTTCTTTACCACGAAACTCACGTTGTCTGTGGCTGGCTGCGGTCGGGACTCCCCCCTTTCCTTGACGAGCACAAACTCTCTGATGAATTCTGAGCAGATTCGGGCTGGAGACAGGGCACTGTGAAAGCAAGCCGAGGCCAGAGAGGAGCCAGATGACCAGGTCAAGAGCAAAACGGACTCAAAGCTTTTCCAACACACATACACCCCTTGCCTCCGTTACGGCAAAAAGTGAAGTGTCCCCCATTTGTAAGGAGAGGAGGAGAAAAACTCTTCCCCCCTCCCTGCAGTTTTTTTAGAAGGGCTATTAGCTGGGAATGCAGGTCTGCCAGCTAGTTCTTTTGTATAGTTAATTACCCCTTCCCCCTCCTTGTTCAACATCCTTCTCTTACAGTGGGACGGGGGAAAGGAAAATTTCTGCTTGGATTTTTAGAACAAGTAAACCTGTGACAAATATGTAGACCCTAAACCCTTTGAATATGAACTTGTAAGTCCAATAAACCATTTCAGTTTCTTGCCTCCCTGGGATTGTCTTGGCTTTATTGACTTCCACACTTACGAGTTGCACAAAATTCCTGAGATGAAGAGTGATACAAAGAGCATTTATATGCTCATTATCCAAACTCGGACCCTAAGATGGAGGCGCTCTGCATTTTTCTATAGCATGTTGAGACAATGTATAACCAAAGGAGAATTTCAAACCCTGGAGTTTCTGTGTCATTTCAATAGTTCGCTCAGTCATCTGTTTGAGCAAACAGTTTGTCTAGATTTGTTAGATTTCTTTGCTATAGAATCTATATACTGTTATAGATAGAGTAACAGGTTCCTTAATTTTTTTATGGCAAAGAAGTAGTTCTTTTTAGAAAGACAGAATAGTAATAGCTTGATTTTTTCAAAGGCAAACTAACAGCAAACTCTTGAATTTAAACTACTGGCATTTCTACAACTGGATGTTGTAATATGTTTGAAGTTCTACAAATAGGCATTGTGCACTGACAAATACTATTACTAAACAGAAACTACACACATGCCATAAAATACTCTTTAAAGAGTATTTTATTATTTATTTATTCAATTATTCAATTATTTTCTTTTGTGATACAAAATATAAAAAATTGGCATTAATTTATTAATATTTCAGTCTGCTTAAATATCTTTCCCATTTATTATTAGAGCTGCTATGAAGAAGAATTCTAGACGATAAAAAGATTCGTTCTGTTTTTATAAGGAATTCTCAATTTAGAACAACTTTTATTCTAATTAGTGTTGAACAAGTCTACAAAGATGCAATATGATGCCTTCTTTGTTTTGTCACATTGGTGGTAAATACTTGACTTTTTTTCTTGTACCTTTTATTATTTTTTTTTCCTTTACAAGCCCAAAAATTTATTGTAGATCACCTGTAGTTGAAAAACATGGGCAGATGCTTTTCCTTTCCTTTGTCCATGCACATCAACTCACTGCATAGGAACGTTTGCCTTAGAAAATCAACTGGGGATACTTTCTGATTCCATGGATGATTCCATATGACTGTCACATATTGCTGTTAAGTGTTAATCTACTTAGTTTTATCAATAATTAGGAGTATTTTTTTATATAATGAAGTCTTTCCCACATCCATCATAGTATTGTTTGAATTAATGTATTTGTCTTCTGTTTTCAGCTCTTCATATTTACTGATTTATTTTCTTCTTTACTCTTTCCTTCCCCTACTCTTCCCACTCATCAGAAAACACTACATGTTCAGTAATAGCAGTGTTTATGTCAGCATTTAAGTGTTACTATTAATTAATTGTGTTGACATAATTGCTGTTGGAAGATAATCTTCATTAAACTTTTCATTCCAAACTCGCTAAACTTTTCATTGAGGAGTGTAATTTTCCATAAATAATTGTTGTTAAATGACCATATTGGGATCTATGACATGCATGTGTCTCATTCTGTGTACTGTCTAACACAATCAAGCTTTTATTGCAAGTGTAGAAACAAGTAACTTCTGAAAAGCTCGGCATTATTGGCAAGTCATAATAATCTAGATGTAGATATAGATATATAGATATAATCTATATTTAGATATAATCTAGATGTTATTTTGTGAATTTTGCCATAAAGCATATGTTCAAACTGACATTGAAAATGACTGTATATTGTCACAATACTGTTGTGATTTTGCATTTCTTAGTAATAAGGTGTTGCATGACATAGATTTTCTCTGTAGCCAAAGTTCATATATGACAGTTTGACTTCTATTGCCACATAAATATGGAATATGTGCTTTCAACTATAATCCCTGTAAATAATCCACCATCTGAGTTTATTGTAGTGGAAAACTAGTCATCTTAACCATACAGGGGAAAGAAAACAGTTAACAGGGATGAGTCTTTTAATTTACCTTTACAGCTATGTTAAGCAGACACCTGCAACTGAGCTATTTATGTAGGCATCTTTTGTTATTAGTGGAGAGAAACAGGCTCTCAGTCTATGATTCACAGAATCCTAAAGTAGACGTCTGTAGTTGGTCTCATAAATTCCATCCTCTACTGCCTATTGATCTCCATTGGATAGAAAAAAATCGAAAGTTTCTAGTAAATATGCAGTGGTCTTACAGACTTCCAAAGTTAGATGAGATGTCTTCTGAATACCACTTACTTTATGCCACTTACTTAAGTGCTGTGGTATAAATATATTATGTCACTTTACTTTTTTAGTGCTAATGATTTTCAGCTATTACAATACTTTTATTCTGTGCAAAATGTTTCTCTGTTATACTCTGTACAAGGCTACATAACTGAACTATTTGATCTTACGCTAAAATGGTTATTTTTACAGCTCAGTCATATC